AGCGGTGCCTGCTGCTGCTGGAAGGTGAGGTCGGGCGGCAGGGGCGGGCAGAAGACACGTTCCTCTCACCAGGGAGCCCCGGGGACCCGTGGCACGTCCCGGGTGGCAGCATAGGACGGGGGCAAAGCACAGAGTGAAAACCAAACCCCCCTTGACGTGGGAGGAGCAGACGGACGCCCCCTCGTTCCCTCGCACGCCGGAGCCTGGGGCCCAGCCCCGTGGAGGGATGGGGGGGACCCCTGGGCTTCGGGGGCTGGGTGCAAGCCAGGGCCAGGTGCAGCCCCGGGCCTTAGGTCCCCACCCCGGCGTGGGGTCACGCTCCCCAGCAGACGCGTGCGGGGCCGGGGCCGGGAAAGGGCACCAGTGTGAAGGCAGCGGTAGCAGGGTCCTGAAGCCTGGAGCTGCACCACTCCGGGTGCCCGTGTCCCCTCCCTGCTCCCGGGCCGAGGGCGTCGCCGTGCCCCCGGGCTAGCACAGCAGCCAGGGCTTGGGGTGTTGGTAGCCCCGGCCGGGATCGGGGCCGAGCCGTGGGCTCCGTAACCGGCTCCGGTCCCGGCGTGGCTGCTGGCTGCCCGGCGTCGGCTGAGGCGGGCGGTTTGCTGTCCTGCAGGCGGCCCCTTCAGCGGCCTGGGAGAGGTGATCCACCGGGAGAGCGTGCCCATGCACACCTTCGCCAAGTACCTGTTCTCCGCCCTGCTGCCCCACGACGCCGACCTGGCCTACAAGCGGGCGCTCCGGGCCATGAGGTGGGTGGCGTTTGTGCCCTCGGCGGCGCGTGGAGCGGGCGCCGGGGGCAGCGGTGAGGTCCTGCCCCTCGGCTGCAGCAGGCACGTCCCTCCGGGGTTAACCGGCCCTTCCGTGGAGCTGGGCAGGGCGCTGGGAGGGGACCGGGCGCCCCCGTCTCCGTCCTGCAGACCAGGAGCCGGAGCAGAGCGGAGGGCCCAGGACAGAGCCGGGCAGGCCCCACCCCAGCCCTGCCTTGCCGCCTCCCCTGGGCGGGCTGCTCCCCCGGAGAGCCAAGGGTGATCGAGGGGAGGGGCAGGAACGGGAAGAGCCTGGGCTGGGAGCAGGGGCTGGGCTGCAGCCGGCTCGGGCGCCCCCCCTTCCGAGGGGGCGGCTGGGCCCTCCCCGCCCTGCCCCAGCAGTAACGCCCCGTGGGGGGAGCTCCGGGGACTGGGGGTCCGTCGGCTCCCGTCCCCTGGGATGGATGAGACTTTGGACCGTTAGCCCGGGAGCGGGTGGCCCAAGCCCACTGCGGGGCCTTTGAGAAACGTGCTGCCGCGTCCGGCCCAGCCAGGGGTGCCAGAGGCACCAGGCGCGTTGCCCGAACGCCCGGCTGCGCCCGAGCGAGCGTTTGCATCAGCCCCGCGGCAGCGCCCTTTCCCGTCCCTTTGAGCCAGGGCCCTGTGCCCGGGGGTGCCGCCGGCGGCTGGGCACGCGCAGGGGCTGCAGCTGGGCGCG